GATGGCGACGACCGAAAACAACGATATAAATATTATACGTTAACATTTATTTTTTTTGTCCCGTTCTGAACCCGTCGAGTACATAATATTACAATAATATAATGTATATATATATATATTTATGTGTGTGTGTAATACACACGCCGTTGTGTGGTTGTGTTGTATATATATACAGAGTAATGGCGTCCTGCTAATTATCTATAGTGGGCAAGGGTAATTAAGGAATCTCGTCACGGAACGGTGCTTCGGTGTCCATGGAAGAAGAAAATAACAATAACACAACAATACTCTCGATTCACCTTGCCGTGACAAGACGTCTGATCCGTGACTGTTTTTGTGGTCGAAAAAAAAGAATAATATACAAAATGGACGTCCTCCAGTGACCTTTTTTTTAAAACTATATTTTCTCTGTTTTCTGGAAGAGAAATATTATTGCTAATTTTTTTCGTCACGATGAGACGTGAGTGTAGTTTGTACACTATTACAATACATACTAAAATATATTATAAACCTAAACAGTACTTCATATAAATACACGTTTTTAAGGTCCCGTTGTTCACGTCGGGCCATAGGTATCTACGCATGTGATGATCGTCGTAGTAATTAAAAAAATATATAAAAAACAGACATTTACTGATATACGTAGGTATACACACGATTTTAATACAATTATTGTTGTAATTGGTGGAGAAAAACTAAATTCCGGTAAAAAATATAGTATAGTTTTTCATGGACGTAGTCACGATATCGTAATATTACATAACATATAGGTATATGTGAGACTTGCACAATTCAACGAGACAAAGAGATCTGCATACGTTGTAGGCGTATAAATGGATTTAATAAACGGTATTAAATATAAATATATAAAAAATCTGCATAAGTACATGGTAGGTATTTACTATTTTTTAAGTTCCGATTTTTAAAAAAATGTTCAAAAAATGTCTTCCATTAACAATAGAGGTAGTGTTTGGAATACATTTGAGCATATATCTAGTTATAAGGGCAAACAAAAAAAATTATTATCTAATTAACATAATATATTATGTGTTCCTACATAACAAAAAAAAAATAAGGCGTTAAGATGCACTAGATATATTATTGAAACAGATAAATCAAACTGTTGTAAATAATGCAGACTTAACTTAGAATAAAATACTTGTATTCTAATGATCTTGAATTATAGGCGCCTACATTATTATTTTAACGATTTAATAGTTCAATAAATTAGTAGTTGCTTAAGACTATCGATATATCGCACATATAGGTGCCAAAAAATTATACAACACAAATTATATAAATTATACATCTCATTTAAACAATCTATAATGTATGTTAATATTATTAACTTAATATCATTCAATTGCAAGTGATGATTTTTATTTGTTTCTCATTATTTTAAATTTGTAAATTAAAATACTACGTTGAAGTAGGTACATAAATATATTATAAAATATCATTGTTTTTTTTCATTTTTAGGAGAAAATAAAAATATAGATAACACCAGATATTGTTGTTAATAAATTATATACCGAGGTATTTAAAGCGCTATTGCTTTTTTGCAATCGAAAATATTTTTAGATTTTGCAGTTTATCTTTATCTTTGAATTAAATTACAAATGGTAATTAGGTATAACATTATTATCTTATATTCTCATTAATGTATACAAGCATGAAATGGCTAAATAATAAATTTCACTTTTTATCTTTCTTGATTACAAACCGAGTTAACACCTTTAGGTCAAGTTTTATTTTACTTACCCATGTCTAAAACTAACACGTCAGTATTAACACAAATAGAATAATGACAATAAACAATACGTATATTTATAAAATTATTATTATTATATATATATTATGTAAATTTAATTTGAATACATATTTTCTTTTTTACTACAAAATTGCTTAAATTTTAGAATAATTTCACTTTCGTTACATTACCTTGACCAAGAAAAAAGTCTGTATTTGCATACCAAACTTCTTAAATAACCATCCTCCGATTGCGAATATACTTTTAAAAAGTGAGAAATGTTAAAAAAAAAATGAGTTAATGAAATGCGAGTTGTAATATGAATCGTGTATTAAAATAATAAACATATATATGCTTTCTCGAATATTGCACAAGACGTTTTTGAATTCTGATATTTCAAGACGAGAGCAAAAAAAAAAAAACTCCTCGATTTTCAGAAGTTTTGTTCGGTATACGGTGGAAGTCCCCGTTACATGCATAAAGTCTAAGTAGACTACGGGCCAGTGGCAACATTGGCTGTGTTGTGTGTGTGTGTGTGTGTGTGTGTGCGCAGTAGGGTAGATTATGCAAATTGATAACAACCGTACAAAACAAAATAACATTAGGGTGTATGGAAAGAAGAGATCTAAAACCTAAATGGAAACAGTCGCTGCGGGGGAGAAAGGGGCGGTGAAACCTTGTTTCTTTCTAAAAGAGTCTGAGAGGAATGAGTAGAGCGCTGCTGCAGAGGGCGCAGAGAGAAGCGAAATAGATTTTTTTCCTTTCGCAAAAGCGCTTCTTCGTATTTTATTTCTTTCTCTTTTTTTTTCCTTTTTTTCATCACGTCGCCTTATATTGTGTGTAATATGAGGCTTTGTTCTTAAATTTAGTGGAATTATACACAAGACTCGTCGTACACTCCTTCAGCAATTTGAATATTACGATGTTTCCATTTCGTGTGTCCGTATATTATATACAATATACATAGCGATGGAGGGGTAGAACACATTTCGTTATGTAAGCATAATGTAATCGTTTTCCTTAATAGTTTTTCATTATTATTATTTTTTTATACTCTATTTTCAAAATAGATCCACTGTAATTGGGTATTTTCAAAACGCAAGAAACTGTAACGGAGTGTAATTACGATTTTCACCACACCGCGGGATTCCAGAAAAAAAAAATAATACCATAATATTAAGAGTTAATTGTTATTACCAGAATTGTTGGCCATTTTATTGTTTTTTCGACTGGAACCTTGTCATTCGCTGTGTTATTTCCCCATCGGGATTATTTTATTATTTTTTTTTTTACCTGATTGCAAGCTTTTGGTGCGGAACTACTGCGACCGGATATCCTGTACACGTGAGGAAAAATATAAAAATAAAAACTGATAAATTGAAATATCAAACATTTACCGACCACTTTTCCGTAAATAAATTCAATGATAATATTTAGCACTCAATAATATTTTGAAACTAATCTATGATATTGCTATAGCCCAAATAGATTATTTTTTGTGTATATTATATTATTATAGAATATTCACACGGTATGCGTGATGACTGATGAATTTGTCCATAAACATTGATTTATGTAACAGTAAAAAAACAATGCTAAGTGCACTATTTGATAGAATAATTCATATGTAAGCATTCGTGTAACTGTGTGGGACAAAATATTCTAAGGTAGAAATAATCTATTTTTATGACAACATAATAATAATTTAGCAATTTTGTCATGTTCTTATAGGTTTAGAAATATACAAGCCTGGGTATAAACGAGTTAAAAAGTCAAAGCTAAGTTAATTTTGACTTTTTAAAATTTAATTTTCGTTAACTTAATTTTTAACTTAACTGATTTTTATTGATATGAACTTAATAAATAACTAGTTACTTTTAACCAAATCCAATTCCGTTAATTTATCAATATTAAAATCATAAAATATATAGTAAAATTACTATCCATGATATGTATTGCATAATCATTTATTTTTTATTATTTTAAACCATATAACTTGCTGCTTATATATTAAAACATAAATAAATAACTTAACTTAACTTCAGTTAAAGTTAGTATAAGTATTTAAATAAATTTTAACTTAAGTGAGTTTAAAAAAAATTATTATAATTATATGAACTTTAAACTTTTTAAAATGTTTTCTATGCACTTAAATCAGTTAAAAATTATCGTTAACTAGCCCAGGCTTGGAATTATAGACAAAACTTTTATAAATACTCATTTTATGTATATTATTTTACAGATTAGGTATTAAACTTTTTCTACGCCTATATCGTAGATATATTATTAGGTCTCTGACTCTTGGTGCTGACCTGCTGTCTGGGTGATCGATACCTATATACTTGTAGCTAGTATCATGTGGCAATGCAGGTATTATAAGCTAATTTTAATATTAATATTTGAATATTTAAATAGCTGTTCATTATTTGAAAAAACCGTTTCAATCTTAAAAATATGTTACACATTATTGTTGAGATTGAATACTATTTTTAACGATCATAATAATTACTATTGAATGAGCATGATACAAAACACGTGCGTCTATGTAGAAAATAGCTTCGCGATAACTTTAGCGGTTTAGCACGTTTATATTATAAGTACCGATTTTCAGGTAAATCTGAGACATCTTATATATGCACGTTGGGGTGCGACTACACGTACCTTTATATACATATTATAAGAACGTGTCGTTCTGTAGGCCACAAGTCTTATATATATATATATATACGTGGTGTCATCGTAGATTGTAGGTACATAATATACATATATATATAGTGGCTATATTATAGTAGTCTATCATTTCTCTGAAAACGGCTGTGAAACGTCTTGAATTCCAAATCACTCGGTCGCGAGTATATAGTCTTCCTGAGGGAAGGTGAAGGAGAAGGAGGGTGAGACGGTTTATAAGACGGTGGTGTGTACGTATATATATATATATATACGTCGTACATATATCAAAATAAACGTTACGATCATGACCGGCATTTTGGACGTGTCCCTACCGCCACCGACCAACCGATCGTGGGTCCCGATAATATGGAAATTTCGTTTCCTTTACGACTTCCGCCAACGTCCGGTCGGCCGAGTCCGCCGGGGGCAATTTTGGGGCCTGCACCGACGACCTACCGACCGACAGTGGCGATGTCCAGGCCGCTATTGCAGCACCGGTTTATATTATTATATATATTATATATGTATATTTATGTGTATGTATATACGTACGTGCGTATATATTATATACCCGAAAAAAAACTCACACACACAACTTAGAGACTTCCTGTGTTTTCCGTGTCCCAAAACAACAACTGTCGTTTTTTTTTTTTAAATGTTATAGCGATCACGCACGGAATATATTAAAATATAGGTACCTTATATATGTATGTAGGTAGATAAAAATTGGTTTGTTCCCGCTGTCGTCGCCTTGAGTCGACCTCTTCTATAATCTCGCATGTGATATTAAAGGCATTTCGATATATTATTTGAACACGTTCATTGTTTTTCCTGTAAACACAGAATATTATATCACCATTCAAAAGCTATACGATTTAATATATGCGATGTTCAGAAGTATTACAGACATGTTGCGAGGAAATAATTAAGATTTTAAACTGTAGGTATTGTCATCAATTAAAAATATATAACTCTATCATTACTATATGTTATTCGTCGTGAGCAAAAAAATTATACATAGGTACATCTTATATTATACATAATGTTAAAAAAATCTCTAAACAAAAATACACAGTCCAATAGTTGAGTAAATTAAATTTGTAAAAATTTTTTTTATCTTTCAGTAATAAATGATTATATAACATGTGTGTTAATATATTATTATATACTATATAGGTATAGACTATATAGCTCTGTAGTCAATTGAGTTTCACGGTACTGTTTATTTGATCACAATTGTTATTACTAATTAATAATTATGATCGGTCGTGAACAATAGCTGGTAGGTATATACTATTCAAGATGAGATTTCTGTCGGCCTATCTTGAATCTTGGTGAATGGCTATTCGTGACAATACACTTCAATAACTTCCAATCAAAACACAAGGGCGCCTATGCTGGTATTCGTTTGAAGTGTTTGTCAAACGTGTAAATCGGTTAAATGATTATTTTTGGGTCAACAGCGTTGTTTATATTATGTATTTAACTGGACCACAATCGTGTTTTTTATTTTGAGTGCGTATACATTTGTATGGTTTAAGGACGTACTACATATACTGAATTGGATGAAGAAAACTGTGATATATTTTGTTTTACATTTGGTTTATTTGTTTAATTGCTTTGATAACATTTTCGTCTATATTACTATATCTGCAATAGCTATAATATGTCTAATAGTCAAAAAAATTGTTTATTGCTCCCTTAGTCTTTTTTATGAAATTAAACTGATACTTATACTACTAAAACGTCATTGTGTCATATACCTACCTATTTGAATAATACATTGTTAGGTATTTAAGTGAATATGTAGGTGTAAAATACTATTAATAATGTATTAATGTACATAAATAATTATATAATAATATGATAAAACGATTCTTTTTTGTTTTACCTATAAAATAAATATTGTTTGGAAATAATTTAAATTTATCAATAAATTAATTTACATTTTACAATCATTATTATACAACTATAGAGAAAGAATATTCGTGAACTTATTGAATTTTAAATGATATCATTACTGTTATCACTATTATACCTGTACAACAAATAATAGGTATATAATTTAGTAATCTAAAAAGCTTCTTCTTAATTTCATTATAAAAAAACTGGTAATAACTTAAGTTTATACAAATAAGTTTTAAAAGTATAATTATTCACATTAGTCGAGTATAATATATTATTACCTACCTATAAGAATTGTAATTTTACACATAATACTTGTAAAAATATACTTATATTTACCTGGCTACCTAACCACTATAAATTCGTAATTGATTATTAACGAAATTATTTATGCAATACATAATACGCGTAAAGTTGTTACGTCAATACAGATAGTTTGCAAACATTATGGACATAAGTACATAACTGCATTAGAGCATTAGACATATTATGTATGTATGTATGAGAACATTACCTATAGGTATTTAATGTACAAATTATGTAAATAATATGATGGTAACTATAAAATTTAATTACAAATATTATAATAGGCCAATATATATAAGAAAAGATGGGAATAAACCAGTTAAAAAGTTAAAGCTATAATAGTTTAAAAGATATATTTTTTGATTTATCTAATTAGTTATAATTTTCTAATTGACTTAATGACTTAGTTATAGTAAAAATATATAATCCTTCGTAACTTAGGTTTTTCAGTTAATTCGAAAAATACACGTTCAAATTGATTAAAACAACATCACTTAAAATAATGACAAACATAATATATTTAACTAATAACAATAGTTCAAACAATTAAACAAAATATTTTTACAAGCAAATAAATATTCCTTGGTTTAATAATATAGTTAACATAACAATCACTGTTTTATCTAAATGTTTACTTATTATTTAAAAAAAAAATGAAAGCTTAAAATAACTTTCTCGTATGTTAGACCCAAGTGGTAATTAAAAAATGAATTTACTTCTATTCTTAACTCAGCATTAATAGGTAGATAATATTTTTATCTGTATTAAACTTTTAGAGTTATTGTCTAGAACATACTACATTGTTTTTTTTCATTCGGTATTGTGTACTGAGGGGGAACTGCATTAGCATTACTTCCCCCATTTAGCATTACTTCCCCCGTTATTATTATACCATTATCCCTAGGGATGTAAACCCGTAAAAGAGTACCTCCAATGACAATAATTTGTTAGTAATTACCTAATATAGTGTTGTTTTTTTTTTTATTGTTTGTTATAGATCGATATGTTAATTTTCATAAAATGTCTCCAATTATTTTAAATCTTATAAAAATAAATATGATTTTTTTATAATATAATATTTAATCTTGATATCAATTGTTTTTTTAAACACGTACATCTATAAATATTTGTCTTCACTCGTAAGTCTCTCCATTTACGACAAATATTTTAACTTATAAAGTTTTTGTCGTAACACGACTGTCGTCCAGTTGCGTCAATATTAGTATGCAATAAAATACAGTTTAATGTAATTTTAAAAAAAAGTTTCGAGGTATTGTTGCATATCGTAATATTAGTACACAATTATTGCAATCGAAGATTAAATTAGCCTGCAGTTACCTGATTCATGAATAATTCTATTATTTTAATAATATAATATATTTTTAAAGAGCAAAATTAATATTTAAAAAAAAAACACAAAATACAACAACATACGGTGGTTCTGGCCAGTGTCGTGTACCCGTGTGTATATAATATGTGTGTATGCGTGTGTGGGCGGCGCGCGTTATTGGGGCCACTTCCTACGGCGGCCTACGGTACAAAATGGACGGTACGCAGTGCGTCCACTTGGTCAGTCCTGTCGACCGTGTTATGCTATGTATATTGTACTTGTATGCATAGTATACGATTATAAACACGATTTAATTATGATAAATTGTGTCCAATATCCATACGTAGGCTATTGCAGATTAAAAAAGTCGTAAACTTTTAATTTGTTTGACGATGATCCAAAGTAGCCGAGAATGTGCATGTAAACCGCATACAACACACTATTGCCATCGCAGTTATATTTTGCAGTATAGAACAATGCTTGTATATTGTACTAATGATGAACGCTGTTATAATGGTGGACAATTTTCACTTTATTGGTATTTATGCTAATTCCATAGTCATAGGTATGTTTTCATTATAATAACGCTTTGACAGAAATTACGTATTATACGCATAGAAATATATTGTAAGGAGATAAATAGTAGATTTGCACTTCCGCCGTGATCTAAATTAAATAGCTTAAAAATATAAGGGTATAACTATACATTTTTTCTATTTCTTAATTTTTTTTCTAATTGATCGAATTAATCGATTATTTACATTTTTTGCCTAACCAATCAAATCTTTATTTGTTTATAAATTAGTATATATAGTCACACTTTGTAGTGTAGTTATACATATTGTATGTTTATTACAAACTGCAGGTGGAATTCTGTTTAATTAAATCTTGAATAGGGTATAAAAACTATCAACAACTTTTGTTATACTAAATAACGTTTTATGAACGATGAATTTCTCACCTAATTTAAAAGTTTGCTAAAATTGTTCAATTAAATTATGCAACTTTGTATATACAACGGTGGCTAAATAAATATAATATATAATTCGCTCAAAAAATGCAGTAAAAAAATGAATTGTTTAGTGAAATATATACTTACGAAACAATTATAAGAATGAATAAAAAGCGTCTTGATTCAAATATTCAATGCATAATGCTTGCTAGTATATTTTAATCATAAATTATTTTAAAATGTTAGTTATACTTATAAATTTCAAATTAAATTGGTATAGTTATTAATCACAGATCCCATGCATGTTCTTAAATATAATATTTATGTATTTTTTATAATGATCTATACAATATTAAGTTCGCATTTTCTTTTTCGATGGTTTATTGATGTAGTATTTATAGCAGGTAAAGCCGTAAAGAAACTAAAGATTAATAAATAATCAACATTCAATCAATAACATAAAAGGCGACTAACATTTAGCTGCATATATAATATTAAAATATAATTTTTTTAAATATAAAAAATATAATATTTTACGCATATATAATAGCTTTATTTTGACATGCTGTTTCTGTTTTCATCATAAATGCATACATGTGAAATATATGGGAAACTGTTTTTCCTTGTTTTCCTTTTAAATAAAACACAACAAAATTAAATAGATTTAAGAATTTTTCGTCACAAAGTTCATGTAATATTACCAAACTTAATAGTTTTGTACAGCTACATAGGTATAATGTGTGCATGGTAGTTAAAAGAAAAACAATTTTGCAGATTATAATTCCTTGTTTGAAATAAATGTAGGTACATATATCTTGTATATCTTATATATATATACATTTAGTTTATTTTAATTTACCTAACTGTTCACTGTTGTAGTCTTGTAGTATATGATAAAATATTGTATACTTTATAGAAATTATGAATTCGCGGCTGTATAAATAAGGTTATAAGTTACTACTTATTTTTATTTATTTTACTTATATGGGACTAATGAGTAGGCATACTTCACAAATTATTTAGGAGCTCATCATTTTCCACCTAACTACTCGTGATGTTTTTATTTCATTCCCAAAAATGCAGTATTTATTACATTAATATAAATAAAAAAATCGTGTATTTTAATTTTTAGTCGGACAGATTCATTTTTGTCAGTTGCTAAAAAGTTGTATTATGAAATTATTTATTATAATACACACTTTTACTATTAGCTTGACGACATTAGACTTCCAAAAGACTATTTATTTTTTATTCTATATATTTAATGAATAATTGTTAAAATATGTTAGTCTATACCTACGTCTACATCACAAGACGTATACTATTTTATATTTCACTGAGAATAAAAATATAAATACATTGTTCCAATAATTAATATAATAGTATACGATTTAGCCATACTTAGCGAATTCGCAGTTAATAATTTCAAAGTCAACGACTATGGATATTATCCAGTTTGTCGGTGTATACGGCGTTTGTAAATTTATGCAAAATAATAATATGGACTACTTAACGCGACCACTCTTAATTGCTCCCGACCATCGACGGTCCGAGCCAGGTGTAATTTACGATTATTATTATTTTACATATTATAATATACAATGTGCACGCGATGTTCGATATAATCGAAAAACGCTGATTCTACTTTTCTTTATCAGACCCAGGAATCGATCGGTTCGGACAATAGTAATGATAATAAAAAATAAATAATAATAATAACAATAATGCATAATAAAATAATAGAAACGTAGGCATACGTAGTGTGCGTGACGACACGCGGAAATGAAAATTATAATTCACCACGGTAGAAATAATTTATGTATAAGTGCGTTTGTGTGTGTTTACGTTTGATTCGCAGTTTGTTTTGTTTGATCACATACCTGTAGTCGTGACTATCGTGAGTGAAGAAAGTAAATCGAAATATACAACCTATACCTACCTATGTATATTATTATTTAACATAGACATAGGTAGTTCCGATTATTGAGAAACAAATGTTAATATTACGACTCAATTAGCTTATGATTTTTTTCAGAGATTTTTGTGGTGCACTGTCCATCCTTCAAAAAATATTTTATGAACTAATTTGAATTTGTGTTGATTCGTTTTGGATCTTTTTTTGTAAACCAACAATTTATACATGCGGCTATATAACATATATTAACATTATTAACATTTTATCTTCATGTTTACCTCCAACCATTAAGTTGTTAATGACACGTTTATTTATAAATGTTAATTACTTAATCAACATCAGCCAACAGGTAAATAATGTTAAAATGTGCATGGTTTTTTTTCTATAATTATTGAGTTGGTATAATAAATTCAATAATATATATTATGTAACTTAAAAACCAAATTGGTGAATAGTTTAATATTGAGCATTTCATCTATATCGAATTTTGCTGTTCATCGCTAATCCCAGGTTGGTAATATCTGTCAATTAATAATTTATAAACAAATAGGTTGCAATGCACATCTAAAGTTTAGATGACTAAGTAAGGAAAACATAGTAGACATTGAGGGGGGGTAAGTATTTAGTATACGTAGAATAATTAATAACAACGTAAAAAAGTTCTCAAATTTCATACCGTACTATAAATAGTATAAATACTATATTAAATAATATTCTTCATTGTACATAATAATTATGTATTTATTCACATTCGATTTTTACAAACAAAATTAAATATAAGTATGTACTTATCTATTGTACCTATTATTACAGCAATACTGTTTACAATTTATGTCTTATACTATATTATATTTTATTCTATTGGCTACGTACCAACTAGTTTACTCTATTTTTGATATTGAACATTTCAACATATGTGGCCATAATCTGAAATCTAATAATATGGTATACAATATGCAGGACCTTATTGTAATAAATTAGATAATTCTGTGAAAGTTAGTTTATTTATCTTTAAATTCAATTATACGGTCCAATATATTTTATGGAAATTTAATTACATTAGGTCTATTGGATTTGGTGCTAGTGTTTACTTTCCGGAGTTTGGATAATTTTGTTGGTTGACCTTTCGATGGTTTATGATTCGTTTATTTGAGTATTGGAGTGCCGAGTGGCGGAAGAAGGTCTTTTTTAGGAGTAGGGTATAATAAGTAGGTATACCTAGGTGTTATACTGTTATGTCATATATGCATATACTTGAAATCATGTGAGAATTTTCTTTTAAGAATTTATAATATTGTATTAGCACATCGTCGTCTATACTGTCTGAATTTTTTCCAGAAATGAATATTTAGCATCACTGGCCGCTCCACTAAAAACTTAACGTCATGCTTTAAAAAAATTGAAATCTTTAACTTAATGTAATGATCAACTGATGTAAACACAAAGTAAATATATGCTGAGCTATAAAAATCCACGAAGTTGACTCTTTGAACAATATAAAAATAAAATAAAAACATTTTATTAGCGGTTTTTAATGCGTAGGTAATATTCGTGATTCGTTTTAATTAGTTATTATTAGGTAGATTAGAAAAATTTATTTTTTCCAATGCAAGAAAACATAATAATAAATTATCGTGTTGTTCTATAATACGTGTTATGTGCCTAATTCGTTCAGACTACTTTTGTTTCGAAAATTTAAGCTTAAACATTTGGGTGCCATAATATAGTGTATATTGTTTCAAAGAATAACTCGTCTCAGATTTGGGCGGTTGGTCGTCAGATAGCGCTTCATGTACCAGTCACGGATGCTGTGCGTGGATCGCGTGAACCACGTGATGGTCGAATCGCGTCATCGCGATGCATTTGAATGGCTTAAATCTTAAGATAAATTATTGTTATTACTATACTATTTATACTCTTATAAATATACGAGCTATATATTATTCAATAATAAAAACTATTTAAAATAGGTAATAATAATATAATATTATACCTAATAGGTAGGTATAATGGGTAGGTACTTACACACAAATGTGTTTTCCACATTCCAAAGCGTTTCCGAATCGTAGTCCTGTCGTAGTCATAGGTACCTATAATACATAAAATATAATACGAGTATTATTATATAGTTTGACGTAGGCGACCACCGTACGACAACGACGATAACTCGCTGACGACGGCTATACGGCTCATTAGTATTCCCCGTGCGTCCAATGGCCAACACACACATATATAAATACCATAGTTCCCTGCAGTGTTCAGGCATCGACCCTTCGGATTACAATAACCGTCGCGATCGTATAATGTTCGTATATTTATATATGTACGTGCACGCGTGTATATAGACACCCGGTACGTATTATATACGTGTGTATATATATAATATAATATTATGTGCTACCGCGCACTTGTACCGGAAAACAATATTTTATAATAAGTACGAAAGAAATTGAAAGAAAATTGTTCTTAAAGGTATGTCATATAATATGTTCGAGCGTTGTACATCGAGACGACGACGACGACGACGACGATATGTATAATTATTATCGTTCAAGGTTTTCATTATTTAATAATAAATAATATTTATTAAGCAGTATTGAAATTTACAGGAATGAGTTGGCATTGTACATTAATATCGCACTGCATCATCTATCAATGTATATTATTATAAATATAGGTAAACCTAATATTTTTGTACAATATGTTATCATATATTATGTACGTATTTAGACGTAGGTTCATCATAATTATTATTACCTATCGTGTTTCATACATATCAGCTCGTATTTGGAAATGTTTATTTTTCCTATTTACTGTAACTATACAAGGTAGGCCTCACAACAAACGCTCATAACAATTATACCATGTTGGATATCATTATAATATATTATTATCTAAGAACTTATTATTGATTGTCACATTTCACCAATAAATATAATAAATAAATATTATGAATTATTGTAATATAAACTCGCTTTCGAATATCGACTACTTATATTATTTACTATTTTGATGATTTAAAACATCTGGGCCAACTTTAAAGTAATTTTTATTGTCGTATTGTTTTCTACAGTTCCATTATATACAACGCATATTCGTGTATACACTCAGAATAGTCATGTTTGGTATTTTCAAGCGCACACCGCACATTACTAATGCGAAAATAATTCCAAAAATATAGTGTTCTTTTATTAATGTATTTATATTATAGTTTATTCTTTTTTGCACTGCACGAAAAACATGAAGTGTGGGGCGGCAGAATATCGATAAAAATCTCGAGATCTGAAATGTACAAAAAAATTATAGTGTAAACGACGTACGGGTTATTATGTAATAACTATTATTGCTAGTAAATAAATGGAAAACATTTATTTAAAATTTATCACGGTTTGTGTACAGATTTAAATGTAAAATACATTGTTGTTGGTATTTAGACACATTCACACACACACACACACACACACACACACACACACACGCAGAGATATATATTTATATTATATATTATATAAAGGTATATACGGAAAAGACTAGCGTATAGTTTAGCCAGTTTAGGTCTTAAATTGGCGTACTTGTGCTCGCGTACAAGTGGATATTATAAAAACGTTGGTCGTACAAAAACTACTTGATTATGTAAAAATATGCAAAAAAAAAAATGATAATAATAATAAATAAAAATGCCGGATTCGAGTTATTTAGGTGCCACAACCGCGAGTTATCTATAATAGACGAGTTTAATATAATATACGGCGGTCCGATCGAACATCGAAAAACGTCAATTGAAATTCTTGCGGTTTAATGTGACTGCCGCGTTGTCACCGTCAGTATAATATGGCGAATTTATATAATGTATTATAATACGTTACAGCTAGTAAAATAATAAAATCACTAGCGTGTGTCTCACGCGGAAATCTTCTCGTTTTACCATATAATATATACATATTATATATATATATAATATATTTATCGATAAAACCACCGTAAGCATCCGACTTTTGTCAGGCGCTTACATATACATATACATATATTATATATAATATGCATATATACCTATATACCTACTAAAATAAAATGTCGGAAAATCGTGATTACCTATATATACCTAACGATCGTATTTTATAGAATTTAGTCGAACGAAGGTTAGGTATATACTAAATATATATGCACGGTACTGAAACGTTTTGCATTTCCGGTCCCATAGTACACGCGGATATTTACGTACGTGTATCCGGTAAGAATATAAGCGACGCGTATTGTATGTGTATATACTACCTATATATGTTATTTTATATATATAAGGGAAATGTTATCACGCGCGTTGGGATTTCACGACGGTGGTGCGATATGTATATATATATATAAACATACACACGTCGCCGTAAGTTCTTCTTTTTATTTTCGATCCCTCCGCACCTATCCCTTGACGATAGCGTACTTAGGGGTTGTCTTGTCACGAATCAGACGCGGGAGGGGTGGATTTTGTACTAGAAAACCCCGCGACCGACATTGGTGCCAAAAACTCTCGACCTGCTGCTACAGACGCAGCGCGGCTAAATCACATCGCCGGAATATAATAATACGGATTTTCGTTTCGATTTTAATATTATTGCTCAGATTATTATGCGCGAATAAATATTACATAATAATTTTTTGTATACGTATATGACTGCCATTTTTATTATAGGTTTTGTATAACCAGTTGTGCAACTCTATTGTAAAAACCATATATATATATTATATACGTTAAGTTGCAATGATATTTGTTTATATAAATTAAAAGTTTCCAAAGTGAATAAACTTTTATATTATATTATTAATTATGTATTATTAGACTTGAACACTGTGTACGACGTACGTAATTTAAATGAAATAGCAATGCAAAATCGTATACAGCGTAAAAAAAACAGTGAGGAGTTCAATCTATCAATTCACACGTCTTGGTCCTGGTTATACCATGGTATAGACTATAGGCATAGTATTAATATTATACATGTACATGGTTACCACCCCACCTACCTTACCAACAACTAACAAAATATATTATCTAGGTATATTAATATTTTTCAAAATTTGTTATTATAACAATGACAATTATATAAACCTAATATAATGTATTTTATTAAAAGACATTATTACAATAAATATAAACTTTATTCGAGTGCAGTGTATGTGTGGATAGTAAAGAGTTTGTTTGCAGGAAGATGTACTTACAATATGAAAAAATTAAAATCTAAGAAAGAAAATTACAATGTATTATTAAATTTACATAACATTAGCTTAATGCGGATCAACTTATTAATTAAGTGATGCAACTTACCAGATTTGCTTATTTATTTTTATTTTCTGACATTATTTAAGATTTACAGTCATAGAGGACTCTACGTTTTTCTATAGTATACATAATAAACATACAGGCATATTTGTAATTGATTCAGTTATACGGGATCCAGAAATTGGACCACGAATTTTCGACCAAAAGTTTATACAGTTATAACACCTAAAGGTACACACCACCACGATAAATAAATATCGTCTGTACGCGAACGCGATTATATTGGACGGGCCAGTAAATATAACACGAGTTTACGAACCACTAGCTGTATACAACACGGGCCAAAGCTCCTCCGCCCGGCCTTAGTCGGTGGCGGCGGCGGCGGCGGCGGCGACGACGACGACGGCGAATACTACAACGACGACGACGACGATGACGCCGGGAGGAGTGGCCTCATGAATATGCATACATCTCGGCCGATGATCAAAATCCCGGTCGGCACGTACCCCGTTCACCCATTGGTCTAGCGGCCGGGTAACGCACGCATGGCAAGGGGGGGGGGTGAAGGGGAACGGATGATGGTATAAACACAAAGGGACGCGCGCGGGATGTCGGCGTGTGCGGATGAGGAGGAGAACGAGGAGGGGAAGGTGGCGGCGGTGGCGGCGGCGGCGGCGGCGGCGGCGTGTGTGTGTGTGCGTGGGTGGGTACGAAAGCGCTTGCGCGTGCAGGGGCCCCGCGTTGGCTTCCTTGTTTACACTGGCGGCGGCGACGGGAGACAGGGATCGCGGTGCGGCTCCGGTGTCGGGGTGCGGCGGGCGGCGGTTGAGCGCGCGATAATTTGCTTAAATTAATTACCCCTCGCCCGGCGGTGGCGCCGCCAACCCCGTCTGCACCGCCGCACCCGACGCATCACCGCGCCGCCTCGTCTGTATACATCATATGCAGCCGCAATACTATATATAATGTGTATACATAATATAACGGTGGATTTATATATACTATCGCAAATTTTCGTATGCATAGGTTCGTGGATATAACAGTAATGTATAAAAGGTAATACTTAACCTATACGTCGAAAATTATTATAGTGAAATAAATAGTATACAGGCAGACAGGCAGTAAATTCTGTATCCATTTGTTTGATCGGACCTATAATATCTATGACATATAGGTATTATTATATTAAACGGAAAAAAAGATTGTTTGCGTGTAGTAGAGAATACCTATATAAATACCTTATAATAATGATTAATGACATTAATATGTAAAATTAATTTTTTTGTTACAGCATTTATTTTAATATGTACCAATGGTATAATTTTGTCGATTTCAGGAGTGTCAGCTGTTCGCATGTCCATAAACATATTTGTCGGTGTGGGATATCATTATTTTTGTATGAGTCTTTGATATGTATCATATTATATGGTGATGGTATTGGATTGGTGTCTTAAAATGCCAATAATACGTACAATTATACTCACTTATTTTACTTAAACTTTGTACTATATATACCTAGTATGTAAAGTATGTTATAATTGTTCTGTATAAATTAAACTATTATAGTATAAATATACTTATAAACTATGTTAATATTTTTGCATGAGGTTGTTGTATTACCTATATAGTTAATGATAACCATTATGAGGATACGTGTACCTATTTATGAATAATATAATATGCAATAGTTTATTTTAATATTATATTATTTTGTTTGTTTACAATATTTGTTTTGTACCAATAGGTTAGGTTTTTAATTATTAATTATTAATTGGAAAATTCGTAGGTAATGTAAGATTTTTAAGTGGATAAATGGATAAAATAATACTCTGAGATTTAGTTGTATAACATTTAATTTGTGCAATAATCGAAAGGTTACCGCAAAAAATTGTTTCAAAAAGTAATATCATCACACGATTAATCAAATCAAAAATATATGATTATTTACTTTTTCAATTTATGAAAATTAAGTACTGCGAGGTTAGGTTAGGTAAAATATGTTTTTTTTTTACTCCTCTGGTGTAGGTATTCTATAGTTCTCAGACAACAACAATTGTAATAGTAATCTGTTTAATTAGTACCTAAGTAAAAAGCACTGTAAACGCATATTGAATATAATTACGTTCAAAAATGAATATTTATGACGACCAATGTAGAGCGGAGCAATGAAGTTCAGGATCCCAATACTTGGTTGATAGTTCAAGGTTTTCTGTATAGAATAAATATTTGTTCGTTTCAATTAAAAAGCAAACAAGTTATTCATTTTTAAATGTTTAATAACTCCCAATTTATTTTTAATATCAATGATATACAAACAAAATACAATAAAATAATTTATAAATTATAACAGTTGTATATAGTACAGTTTCGGTAGTAAAATAATAAACGTTTATGCAAATTACTTTACTAATTTTAAATATTACGATTCTGATACAAATTTGCGTCGGTTAACTAAATAATTTAATTTAACTGCAGTTCACTATAATGATCACTTATTTGGATTACAAAAAACTGTTACAGTGTTACCCCTAGCTATATTATATAGAATTATACTAAAAAAAAAAAAAGGTATTATGTGGAATATTTTATATTATATATAGTTATAAAACAATAGCTAGTATAAATCGACAATAGAAAATAATATGCAGGAGACAAAGAGGAATAACTAAATACGAATTATATATTTTATGAATACGATATTTTTACTCGGTCAATTTTTAATGTAGGTATTTCGATGATACAATTTTTTAAATCTTGTACCTATGGTAAATTTACTATGGGAGAGAGTCATGCAAAATCTTAAGCACGCTTTTTCATTGTTACAAGAAAGTAGAACGTATTTAAAATTCGATCATGCACTTGCAAATGAACATTTAAAATATATTATATTATAGATGTGTACACAACACAAAACAACACAATAGTACCGTGTACACTTCTGTGTGTGTAATGTGTGTGATGCAATAATAAAAAACCGTATAACTCAATAAAGTATTTATATATTTTTAAACCTTGAAAGATTTTCTAAAATACATATTGTATTTATTTATTTTTACTTTTAAAATGTTAACGCGCGTCTTTAGAATTATTTAGTACACATACATTTTACACATTATGTATAAATTATTATTATTTTACTGCATCATAAAAAATTCAAAGATAAAACGTCAATGATAAAAAAAATATACACAGTGTATATAAACCGACGCAGAAGAAGGTGTTATTATTATTTTTTTTTTTTTCAGGAACTCGATCAATATTCACCAACAATAGCTATGGGTATTATTTTCTTATGTGGGACACCACAACGCTTCCTCAATTATGCTCGAGGAGAAAAAAAAAGTTGCCGGAACAATTTTTTATGTCATTTTTATTATTATTCATTTTCGTCTATCTTCTCCGCCATTTATGCGCGTAACTTTTCCCCTTCGTTAAAATAAATAAAAAAATGAAAAAAAAACCCGGGAGCAACAAAGTTTCATCGCGCCGTTTGAATATTGTTTTTCAACATTTTTCATTTGTACGAATTGAAATAAAAAACCGTAAGAAAAAATACACGAGTTTTTATTTGTGATGTCTCTTAACTACAGCGTTGATGACGGGAACGTTTTTGTGGCGTTATCAGCTCTCTCCTAATATATATTTACTCGACTCTATATTATATAGAGCGCAGTGCCGTCGTCGGCATGTCTCGGAGACCCAGCTCTATAATACCTGTACATATGGAGTGTACAAACTATCTGCTCAATATGTTGAGATCGATAACATATTTTTTACTCAAACGCGGTCTCGTATTATATTTCTATAATATAATAATAATTATTAAATAATATTGTATGATCCACAAAATTCGGACGTATATCTGACGTGTGTATTATAACAGTGTCACTGCAGAACACGATGATGGACGACTTAAATTCGATAGTTCAGTTTTTATAAAATCAATACCTAATGTGCATTAAATTATTAATATGCATCGTAAAACCAAATAAATCGATTTCATAATATTATTATCAATTTTTTTGGCAAGCACTGCTGCACTTGTTTTAGATCATAATTTTCTACACAGGTACCTAACCTAGGGGCTAGGTTAGCTATCAGCTACCATTGAAACATTTGATTTATATTTTAAACTGCAGTCTACGAGCTGCAAATATTAAATGACCATGTAATATAGCGTAATACGCATACAATTATCCGTGTTATTATTAACGAGAGCATAAACAGTTTCAGAAATGCGAATTATCGGACGAAAATTCATGATTGAAATAAGACGTTTCTAATGAAGCTCGCCCAGCTGCAGGTATACTAGAAATCGCCAGAGGTGCAATAAGCCATTGTGGGTATTTCAACCCGAAATTAATTACCTCCGGTTGGTTTATTAATATCTACGTGTAATTACTGTCATTACACCGGTTCGGCTAGAGAGGTGGAACCCAATCTCGTCTTATAAGACGCCCGGCGCTTTTTAAGTCATTAATAAAAATGAAAAATTATGAAAATAGACTGTTGGATGCTTCTGTGCGCTATATCACAAAACAACAATAATGAGGACGACGACGACGAAAAAATAATATATAGAAGTGAAAAATGGTCCATTACAAAAAGTCTCATCGAGTAGAGGCGGTTACGCATATAAATCACGTTGATGAATGATAATTCCAGTAGTTGTTTGAATTTATCAATGTACATAATATTATAATATATATCATATTCATTTTAGACGTTGCATACGTCCAAAATAATTAGCTACAATATAACCGATGATATAACATCAATATAACGCGTTGCTTAAATATTATTAAAACCAATGTAAACCTACGAGAAACATTAAATCCTGAGTGGTTAATTGGAAGGTACTCGCACATACATAACACTGTTTATAATATATGCCTTTAACCTATATCATATAAATATTATACATATGTTTTATTAAGCTGCTAACAAAGAAAAACAAAGAAAATACAAAATATACTTTGTTATGTATGGTTAAATTTCAAATTTTAAAATGTAAGGAGATGGCAGAAATACAGAACATAGATTTACCAAGTTGATTAACCTACCTACTACTTGCTAGACACTTTTAAAATGTTTGCAGTACCTACCTCTTCTTATTTATTTGGGAAATACATCTTGAACATTTAATTATTAACAGAAGCAGGCAGTGTATAAATCTATAATTGGGCATTTGTACATCTTTGTAGCAACTATAACAATATTATAATAATGCCTGATCACACATATTATTATGAAGCAGGTATCTCTTTTGCATTTTTTTTTTTTACAAAATATATTTTTGTCTTTTAAAAGAAACAAAGCATTTTTTATGGAATATTTACGTGTTTATAGTGTACATATTATAGCTGTAGCATTATCTACGATATGTATAATGCGATTATACGTGCGGTATATATAAAAAAAGTTTGAGCTACGCGTGTTCTCGTAAAATTTAATAACGTCAAATAATTCTTGCTTATCTTTGTGACCTTGTATTGGAGAATGGTAAACGATAACAATTTACAAAGTATCATATTTGTTCCCATATATATATATATATATATATATGTAATACGTATACTATATTTTATAATCTGTACCGGCATAAATATCACTTGAGTCATAATTTAAAAAACAAAAAGGCACCCTCAGCGTGCAGAAATGAGTTAAAAATACGTTTTTTTAATTGTTGAATACTTACATTTTTATAATATAAATATTATATACTCGAACATTTGCAGAAAATTATATTCTGAGTATTATACACTAGAACTTACATTTGTAGGATATTATAATATACGATATAATATGCCTAATGGCTATGTAACATAATTGTTGTACGCAAACGAACTTCAGACATAATTACGACGTCTCATATCGATACTCGACGATAGTAATCTATCGAATACATGTCAAGCACCTACCTATATAACATAGTGTATACTTGCAATCAAGATTATAAGTTTTCCATCTCTATCGTCACCCGAAGCGCTGCTGCCGCCACCGTGTGTAGGTGTCGCTTCATATACGTCGGTGTCGGCGATCAAACTCAAAGATGCAAATGTCACAACAAGTACATATTATAATATACATATATGTATATATATATATAATGTACTCATATACATATTATATAGTCATATATAATATATCTATGTATAATATATACACACTAAATAATATATATATACACTCACTAGTAGCCGAAGAGAGACCTACCACGACGCCGTATATCACGCGTCATGAAGAAGGGGAGGGGGCGGTCGGCGTGCGTGCGTTGCTAATCGATTTCAAGTACCTCCTCCGCCTCTATTCGGAAAGCTTTTTACGCGCGTTAAGAACGAAAATACAGTTACATTTCAACAACGACGACAGGCTAGGATTAAACCGAATCTTTGGTTAGAGCTCAAATATCATAGTATACTAATATACTCGATAAGTATGTAATATAATATTATTGTTATACGTATTATATAATATTATTAATATTATTTTTATCATATGTATTTTTCAGCTTTGTTCAAGGAGCTCGTTTTGGTTTACGTGCAAAGGCTGAGGAATTTATGAACTTATAATACATAATATTTTTTATTATTAAAAAGTGTTTATTAAGTGTGGCTATTAATACCACGATGAACCAGCTTTAGCAATTAGTGTTTTAAATCTCTGACTGAACGTTATAGCCGCGGAAATCAGGAAAACGTTTTTTTTATTTAGTGCAGGGGGGTCGTAAACTGCGAGAAGACATTAGAAGGTCGTCGTCTATATATAAACAGAATGTATACCTATGCGTTTATATTATAATAATGTTGTGGTTTATTTTGTATATAGGTGTTAGTTCGGGTGTAGGGTGTATGTGGGTACCGCATGCAGCAGCCGTATTATAGATCCGTCGATACGATGACGACGTGTTGTCTGTCGATAGTTTTTTTATTTCGATATATTACATGCAAAGTATTTAAGTATATATACATATTATATATATATATAAAAGAAAAGTACCGCCACTTGCGGCTGTTTAGTCGTAGCGGCGGCGGCGGTCCTCTCACTCGGAAGCGGTTGTTTTGCATAATTCATGAATTTTTCATAAGGTTCGTGCACCACCCGCCGGGCAACTGTATACACACGCGCATGTATACATACACACATGTACACATTCGTACGCACACATATACCTATATATTATGTACAATATGTATTATGATATGTATATATATATATATATGGTGTGTGGTGTATCCCTGACCGTGGCCGCAAGTTAGCGCCGCCGATTTACGCTCGCACGTTGTATATTATAATAATAATAATATATGTACCTTATTACACACACATACTGCACATGCTGACATGCAGACGTATGCAACACACACGCGTTGTTTTACGCATGCATATTATTTCCGGCCGTTTTGGCGGGAACAACGATCTGGTGCAGTTAACCGCTAGCGAGTGCACCGTCATAAAGTGTCTGACGACTGCTGCACATACCTACACATAGGCGTGAGACATAATATACCCAATTAATTATTTCATACATTTTAACCGAACTTTGAGTGTACATACTATATATATGCACCTAGGTTTTGCAGTGGGTGTTTTGAGTGTAAAGCACCCCTTCGTTTAAACACCACGCTTAAAATAATCCTAGTTACGCACCTGTAGGATGGGCTGTGTAGGTGCAAGCGTCGATCGCGTAAAGCATCGTTCGTAATCAAATCGTACGTATGCGTCTTCTACAACGTCCTAGGTACTATACGAGTAGAATATAAATACGATATATTTTTATTATAATATAATGTGTTATTGGTCATTCGATTAAAATTAATTTTAAAAAATTTGAACGCCCCTCTCACCATTCCCTCTTCTTCTACTGCCGCAAATTATAACATAGTTTCGTGCGGTTCGCCTGTTCATAATTATTTTCGCGTGTGTACGCACGATGAACGCTTTTATTGCGCAGACCGTACAAAAAGATTACAATATTATTATAGGTATGCGATAAAAAAAAACTTACTTTATATTTCCGAAATCGTCTGAAAATCGTTCGGGCGATTGAGGATCGGGTTAGGTACCTACCTGGCTGTATAATATAATAGATCCGCACACGCTACAAATTATAATAAATACCGGCGTGACTATAAATATGATAATGTACGCCGTATATGCGATACTTTATATAGCTGTTTTTTTTTCAACGGAAATCGTGATAAATAAATCTCCGCGAAGCTTTTCGCCCACTACATTTTTATATTTTATATTATAATATTATATTATAGTGGCATAGTGCGCAGTACCTACCCATATATACCTTTATAATCTTCGTGTGTTGCAATCTCGTCCGCTGGTCGTATTGTCGTCGATCAGTCGCGGGTGCGGCCCCGTATAATATAATATACAGATACAATTAAAACAAATCTCCCCTTCGCCGCCTCCGCATCTCCGCCAAACGGGGCACACCTATCGTTTTGCACACCGCACTATACAGGGTGCAGTGTAACATAACGTGATATCAAGCGTGTGTTTATATGGTCGGAATTTTGA